CTGAAATTGCATTTCAATAAAGTTATAAAATTTTGAAAAATTTGCGTAGAGTATTGCAAGACTTTCTTTCCAACCCAATATTTCATGCATGCTAACTGGGACACTTCCGTGCCATCTCTGGTGGAATTTATGAACTCACTGCTCCTGTGATGCAGCTCCCTCTTTTCTTTGGACGCGTCCTCATGTCAATTTGTCGTTGGGAATCGGTCGGGGTCTTTCCTCGACCATATTCCAGTGGTGATTCTTGAGGGTCGCCTTGCTTCCAGGGTTGTGACTTCGCGGGAACTGGGTGTGCTGGCCGCATTGACATGATGATTGGGATCTTGTAGAGGTCTTGACGTTCCGCTTCGGTTTCTCTCCTGCTTTTGTCGCTTTTCCGGCTTGCGGGGATGGGACGCCTGGTTATTCCGGAGCTGGGCCCTTGGAGATGCCTCTCTGTGCAACTGATGCAATTGCGGCTGGAAGTCCGGGACGCTCTTCATCCTCGTCCCTGGAAGTACTTCCGGGACTGCGGACGGACGCGATGACCGGCGCACCTGGGAGCTGGGTTAGACGAAAGGGGCAGTTTCCAGGGTGCACGACGGCAGCATGGCGAAAGGGTGCTGAATGAGACCAGGAGGCGTGCTGGAATGGGAGCCGGAACTGGGGGGGGGGGGGGGTAAGTGAAGTCGGGGTTCATTGCATCAGTTGCACAGAGAGGCATCTCCAAGGGCCCAGCTCCGGAATAACCAGGCGTCCCATCCCCGCAAGCCGGAACTGGGGGGGGGGGGGGGTAAGTGAAGTCGGGGTTCTGTGTCGTTAGGTCGTCAGTCTCTGTTGGAAGAGTCGTTGGACCTCCCAGGAATTCAAGGGTTGTGGCGGAAAGCGACCGTGTTCCACAGGATAACAAATTTGTCATCAAAGAGAAGAATGCCCCCAGCTGCCCTCAGCTCCAACCTAGCGATCAATTTTTGGTCATTTGCAAAGACAGATACTGACAAAAGTATCCTCCAGGCACAGCTTCAAGAGCTTCTTCTCTGCTTCCCATGTGTGCAGGTTCATTGCCAAATAAACTTCCTGGATGCCGATGTTAGCTGAGGTAGTGAGTCACATTTTGCGGGAGAACAATGTTATTGTCACGACTTAGACTAAGGAAGCGCGATTCTTCTTGTGGCCGCTAGATGACACCTTCAGGGACGCCACAGATGTGAGGCCAACGAGACAACCTCTTTGAGAATCTCCCCTTTCTCTGTATAAAGCCTCCTCTATGCTCTAATTTGGAGAGCGTTAGTGCACATTGTATAGGGAAGTACTGTATTTGGAGATCCGGGAAGCTCCCCGCAAGAATGGTAGATCAGGGAATGATTGCATGTTCGCATGGATGTGCACCGCGAAAAGGGGGCCTTCGCGAGGTCGACCTTAGGATGGGAGAAGAAAGTGAGCTCTCTCCTGGATTCTCTCCCAAGAACGGTCTCTTTTCATCTATCAAGAGCGGGCCTCACCGTCCCATTTTTTCTACCTGTCCTACCTACTTATAGGAAAAAAATAAGTAATTATTGTTCGCCTATCACCTGACCCGTGGTTTGTCGGACACGCCAAGGGAAAATAATTCCTTCACATTATCAAACACAGCAGAGAGTCTTACTGTCGCTGCGCTTTGTTTTTCCGGTTTTGCGCAGGAATATACGCAGGTCTGTACAACGTGGAGACGTAGGGTAGTATTGGATTGTATGTTTATCTGAATGTAATACATTCGAGTGCCAAATTTAATTGATTCTGACACGGCCCAGCTCATACCTTCGCAAGTTCAGCATCACTTGAGGCGAAAAGAATCATTCATGGTTTCAATGCAATCATGTCTCAATGACGTGGAATTCCTTCAGTATTTCAAGCTCCATCAAGTAGCTGAAGAAGCTCATCAGGTGGTTCCCTTTACGCGTGGCACGAGTCCCTGAAATAATTTATGATCATGAAGTCTGAGCAGTAGATGAGTTGAAGAAGCACGTGGAGCTGTGCGTTGATAGGGAATGCACCTAGAGGAGGGAAGATCTCAGATTATGCTCCATTGGTGCAATCAAATTTTCAATTTAATCATGAATTTCGGAATGGGCTCACAAGATGTTACGATGCATCATGTTCCATTGGGATTAGACCAAGAGATTGCGATCTGTTTGAATGACTTGCTTCTGGAGGTGTAGAACGTTTCCTGCTATCTTCATGAACACCAGGGTTTCTCTCAACTAAGAGACGAGTTCCCAACCACATTCCTTGTGTTCATATTGAATTGATTATACTGATTGGATTGGCGGACATAAAGTTTCTTGCTAAAATAAATAACGTTTCGTGAGCTTAACTGAAGTTGGTACATTAAAACCTCTCTGGGCGATAGTTGAAAAGTGAAGCTTTTTTCGGATTCAATTATCCCCTTCGAATAGAATCAATGTGGACCCACCTACTGGAGAAACATTATTTCTCTTTCCCCCCACTCAGATTCTCTGAGAGATTTGAGAAGTACAACAAGATAAGATACAACAAGAAAACAGAAGTACTGGCTTTCGACCCTGGGGCAAATGGTCATGATGACTCAAGAAATGGCGTATCTCTCTTTAAGTTTTTTTAGTGTGGTGGCCCCCATATGTAACCATCTCTTCGTGGCTTTCCTTCTCTATGTTTGTAGAGACTCTCTGCACTAACCACCATCGCAAATGAAGTTAGTGAAAGTGATGTGAGCAAATTGTGTAATTTACTTTTTTGGGGGGTCTGAAATTATTGTTCCGTTCATAAATTAAATATATTCCTTAAAGAGGGAAAGGTACTACTTGGAAATCTGAAACGGATTCAGGATTCCATTCCTCTGATCACAGCAGTTGGTTCAGAAGTGCTTGGGCATGGTTATCCTTTAATCTTCCCAAAGATTCATTTAAATTAGTTCATACTTTGCATAACCCTCTCACTTGGGTCCCATCACGAAATCAGTGCACAAGTCGATGGATCCTTGACTAGCTGGCGCATAAAATTAATCTTTATTGGCACTGTTGACAAAACATGAATCACAGGACATGGGAATATGCCTTTTTGAAATGATTCTACTCCTAAATGGAGAAAGCAGCAATGACTGACAATGCATTATGATAAGAACACGAAGTGAACCAGGATAAATTGCGATTCGGATGTTTCAAGGATGCAAAAAATTAAATTTGATCACGAGTGGCTATGATTAGAATATTCTGAAATCAGGTTTTAAGCATTTCCTCACTTTCTCTTGATTTCACCAAGTTTTGATCGTTTATGGAATCTTCTCATACCTTTACTTCCATTTCTTTTCCTGATCGTGAAATTATTCTTCCCGCTAGCATTAGTTTAACGTAATGAATAGAAAATGTCTTTAAGTTCAGCACCCATGAATGGAAGAAGGGTCGGGTAGTGTGTCTCTTGAACGTCCCTCATCTTAGAGTTCTAGGTCTAGTATCTGCTCTTCCAGATCCATACGTTTTCAGTCCCTGATGACACCAGTCTATAATTAAAATCTTAAGACTTCTATGTTGCATATTGGGGGTGTATAGGACTGTATATTGGTAACACCAACGCATAAAGGAAAATTTTCGTATCTCATGTCGAGTTTGTATTGTTGATATTGTTTGACTGATGATTGAAGAATGTGGTGCATTCCGGTGAATGCATTGATTTGCCGAGTAGTACAAGCATTTGATCACTATTTTTCGTGAACACATGTCAAAAGTCTCTATACACAGGCTCCAATTTTTTACCATTCCTGAAGGGAATTCTGTTTTATTAGAGCACGTAGCGTGGACATCGTTTTTTGAGGTAACCTATGAACTTGACGGGCCCTTGTCTTTGCCACGGAAACCAAACATGACCTTGACTCCTTTCCATGCCTTGGTCATCAGAGATTTATCCTTTATGGGATCCGGGTCAAACATGGAAATATCCATACCTTGTTCTTTGAATTCTTTCATACATTCCTCGAAAGGATCCATTTCCCCACTGATAAATTCCACTAAATTCGCTTTCTTCTTTGCGTCTTCAAGGTATTTGATCCTCTGAATGAAGCCATCTTTTCCGTCTCGTCTCTCGCTCTCTATCAAGATATCAAGGTAATCGGTGAGGCGCAAAGGATCAGGCTTCAGGGCTATTACTTCGAGTCTCTGCAAGCACTTGTGCGCCCTCTTGGCCAGCTCTAAAATCTTGGCTCTCTCTTGGTTGAATTCCCTGATGAGTGCTTTTAGAACACCCTCAGATTTCAATTTTCGTCCTTGCGCCGATTCATATTTTATTTTCAGGTCCATGTACGTATTTGTCTCTTCTTCCTCGTATAATTCGAAGCGATACTGGTTGTTGTAATGATCACTCGCTGAGCAATTTTTGGGACAATTTTTACAAAATGTTACGGATCCTTCAGTTTCCATCGCAGCGCATTCGTTTTTCCTCTTATCATCTGAGATCATGCAAGGATAATGACATGTGAAGTTGCACAATAAACAATTTGTCACGAACTTTCCACCTTCCAAATCCACTTTCCTTTGCTTTAGGACCTTGACTTTATACTCAAAGTTCTTGTTAGCTTCTATCTCAGCCTCATGTTGTCTCAGCGCTAAATTTGTTTGCCTCAACGTCTCCAGTCTGATAAAAGCTAATGAGAAAATAAAACCTATAACACTGTATGCATTAAAATTGTCAATGTACAGGGTGTCCATAAAGTAACTTGACATAACGATTTGTTTTCTCGTCGCCAACTGAAGTTTTACATTGACAGTCTTAAAGAGGACTAAATTCTTTATTCCGGAACACTAATAACATTAATTTTTTCTCAATCCCAGGTACCTGAAAAACTGATATTTTGACAACGGCTGAAAATGCTCAGTATCCCGCAAAGAGCTTTTCCTCGTTCTCGTGAAGGTCGACCTTGTTTCGATTGGTCTTGCACTGACCCTGTCTCCTGAAACTTCCTAACACACGCAGAGAAATCGGTAAATCGAGATGATATACATCTCTCAATTTTCGCATTTCGATTAATTTTTCTTAAGAGAAAAAAAATCGAATGGATTTTCGATTTATATCTCTCGTTTCCCGACCGTGCCGGCTCGCCTGAAAGGCGTTTGCAAAACCAAAATGCATCTATAGCCGAGTCGAGGGGGTGGTTTGAGTGGCCCTGCATCGTCTAGACGCATGTTAACCTCCGTATTCCACTTAATCATGCCGAGGAAGCCCCCTCCTCCTTTCCCCCCATGAACCCTCGGGGTAATGCATTGACAGTCGAAGGATTCACAAGCAACCGCCTGAGTGCTTGGCCTCTTCCCCCCATCACCTTCCCTCCGACCCGTGCGAGTAGCTCGTGCGTCTCGAAGGATTCCCATGTAACCGCTTACTTCATTCTTCGAGTTCAGTTTTGTTACGGTGTTCGGTGCGTCATTCCGTTTGGTGCGTAGGTGGTGCACCATGTATAGCCAGTATCGAAAGCTCCGACTGTTAACTATAGACAGTTAAAAGTCCTGTAAGATTACATGGATTCCTATGGAAGAAAAAGAGTTCCTTCGCTGAAAGGCCCGTTATCTCTCTTAAATTAGGTTTGTCTGACGTTAAAGAACACCAGTATTTGTAGCCTATAATCTTGAATCAATTGGTGCACCCGCATATATTTTCGGAAAGTCTCTCCGGCCCTAGAGATCGTAGACTCGTCCTGCCCTGCCCCCTGACTCATCAGAAAAAAATTCAGCCACTGTATACGAATTCAATCAGTCCGAAAACAGCGTATTTCCTGTACCCTTTGAAGGTCCGGCCTAGCCCTTCATCACCGTGGATGGCTAATATTATATTTCAATTTCATCGATGAATTTGATTTAAACTCGGTGCTCGACTTCACCCTCCGTACTGAGTGTTATGCATGTTTTCATTATATTATTATTATGATATGCGATTTCACTTCACTTCGTTGAAGAAAATAAAAATGCCCCATCGGTGGTGGGCAATAACTGAACATCATGTGGAATGAACATTGAACTACGTGTTGGTGGATGAAAAGTAGCTCCTGACAGATATTCCGTGGGATATTAAGAATAACTCCAGAGAAGCACGTGGTAGCCTAGCGTTCCACATTCTCCCTGAGGTGGCTCGAGAAAGTGAGAACAAATCACAGGCCTTTCATGCAACGCTTGTGACTCTCACGAAAAAATTGCCCTACATGTGATGCGTTTTTATTGCATCCAAAAGTTGATGCGATAACAACATTGAAAAATCGATGCAATAACCGTATCCAAAGCTCTATGCAATAAAGACACATCACATGGAGGACAGTTTCTTCGCGAAGAAAATGCATCGAACTGAGGCACTGAATTTTCTGTGTGCAAGATCATGAGTGGTTGGGTGAGAAGGCCCTTGGGACGTCTTGTAATGGCGTTTGAAGTTCTTTTGTGCTTCTGCTCATAGGCGGCTATTTGTTGAGTAATTTGTGGGGCTCAGAGATGGTACTCCAAGTATTATTTGTTCTTCCGCTAAATTTTTCTTGGTGGGCTCGAGCCCCCTGAGCCTCTATGCATCGCCGCCTATGTTTCTGCCACATATTTTGACTCAAAATACCACTCCATGATCTTTATTCTTTGAGAGAAACTTAGCATTTTCGGCAGTTACCAAAAAATTAGTTTTCCAGGTACCTGGGATGGCGGAAAAGGAATATTATTAGAGTTCCGGAATAAAGAATTTAGTACTCTTTAAAACTCTCAACGTAATATTTCAGTTGGCGACGAGAAAAAAAATCGTTATGTCAAGTTACTTTATTGACACCCTGTATTCGTGACTGAGAAGACTTTTCACCGTTCTGAAGTTGAGGTAGGATCCCCTGGAGTGCTACGTCCAATTGCTTCCTCTCCTGCAGGACTTCCTTCGTCAGTGATAGACTCACAGGCTCTGTCTTCAGGAAGTCGTCGAAGAATTTCTGAAAGCTGGACTTTCCCATATTCCAGATCATTCTACTCAAATCATCAGGATCTGGTCTGACGAAGAATGCAGAGTTATTCAATGCAAATGATTTCCTGAAGGGGATGCCTGCAGCATTGATTGCACTCAGAGCGGGTGGTTTCTGACCGTCCGAAAATGTGAATAGAATGTAAATATTTTTCTCCACGTCTCTTCCAAACAGGGCCAAAATTGAGTCGAAGATGTATTTTTGGGTATGTCTTGCCAGAGAGTCCGGAACAACAAAGCAGATTCCATGAAGTTGATCTACACCTATGTTTCCACCATCGGTAAAAAATTCCCTGAACATATTTCTCAATCGTTCATCTGCCTCGATTCCTTCAGTGTCACCAAACCCTGGAGTATCGATGACAGTCAAGGTAAAGGGTAAGACGAATCCATCCTGCTTGTGGAGGACATATGCCGTCATCCACTTTGTCTGACTATGGGCTTCGGACTTTGTTTTCGGGTTTTCATCCTTGATCAGCTTGAAGCGGAATTCCAGAAGGGTGAGGTGGGGTATCTGTATTAAGTGCTAGCGTAACTAGTGCCATGAAAATGGACTTTCTTTGTACTTGTACGAATTTTGGTGGTTTTATTATTTAATCCGGAATTTCCTAACAACTATACAGGGAAGGTTTCATTAACTCTTAAAATTTTCTATTTTGTCATGTCAGCGTTCAAATACAGTGCAGAAAAAAACTGTTAAATACTGTATTTAATGTAGGATTTGCATGCTTCATCGAATATCCCTTCAAAAGTAGGCCCAATATTAATAATAAAAATAATTATTAGTATCCGTACGAGAAACAATCTCAACTGTAACGGCAGAGTAAATGCTAATTCTGGTTGCCTCGGCTAGTGGCAAACATTAGTTACATCTAATATAAGCAGACAATCGTGACTGAATGGAGTCAGTAGCCCATAGAGGGCCTGATGTTAATTCTAATAATGTTATAGATGTATTATGCAGATACAGCTGCTCACACAAGTAGCCATTCAGGTGCCAAGTCCAGAAAAAGACCTGCTTTTAAGAAACATCCTTTCGAAGAACTTTTTTTCATGAGAGGGGGCAGATGCATTTCCAGAGGTGTTTCACTCTAGGAAAATACATAATGTTTAATTTGGTAAACAAGTAGTTAAATGAATTTTTTCAATCCCGAGCAAATCCTTTTGAAGTAAGAGGGCTGTTTATTAAGTTCTGGGAATTTTGTTCAATCCCTACAACGGCTGATCAGCGCCTAACGCAAAGTTGGTCAAGCATGCTTAGGCTTGTTGTAAACACGACTTCAAAATATTATTCACTGGGCATGCGTCAGTAGGAAGTTGTCAGTGTTCGTGTAGGGTACACTTTGTCAGTCATGGAAGAAGCAATAAATTATCAAAT